AAACTTATTAAAGCTTGAGAACTAAACTTGATCTGGGTCTCCCAATAATCAATTACATCCATCCAAGTTAATCTTCACACATTACACACACACACACACACACACACAATTCGAATCCTAATGTATAAACAAAAATAATAGAGAGTGCCTGCAAATGAATCCAAAAATTTATGGAGGTAGGGAGCCCCGAGAGAAGATGAAATTATGTTAAGGAAGAAGGATATTCATATTTCGTGACGCAGAATAATAAAAGTCAATAATTAATTTCATATATATATATATATAGATATGTAAGTTGTGTGTTCATGATGAGGAGAAAGAAACATTGGAGGAATCATTTGGCAGGGAAACACTATAAAGAAAAGAAATAAAGTGAAGTTAGAGAAAGATGTGAGGGGCGAGGAGGCCCCATCACCTCATCATCATCGTGGAAGTTGCCCTCATCCCCTCTGCAATTTCTAATTTCTACTTTTTTTATTTACAGTTGTATCAATCATTTAATTGATTAGTACTCTCATCTTGAATACAGATCCAGTAGGTCAGAAAATTGATTTTAGTTTTAAATATAAAATTTTAATTCATTTAATTTATCTACCATATTTATTATTTTTGTTTCAAACTAATTTATTTTGCTTATGACAAATATATACTACAATGTTATAAAGGTATTTTAAAAATCATATTACATGTATTAAAATTAAGTAATTTACTTTGTTTCATTCATTTCTTATTTATATCAAATCAATTAATCATATATATATATTAATTTGGTAACGCTGCTTACCTTCCAATTTACCCCTTCAATGGCAGCCATGAATTAATATACATTTGCAAGCAAAGCATGATTTAGACCACTGACTCCTGTATACATACATCCACATTTGCCCATTGGCAACCCATCATCATCAGTATCATACATGATCTTAACGATAAAATTAAGTTTCCCGATTTTTTCCCAAAATTATATACTCATCCAGTCCCAAATATATGACTTTTTTTGTAAAAAGTTTTATATTTAAAACCGGAAGAGTATTATTTATATTTTAAATATAAACTACTTGGAACAACCTAGGCCATCAGTGAGCCCTGCTACTTAATAAATGCCGTTAATTATCAATATGCATATATTTCAGAATTTTTTAAGGCAGTATTTAATTTATTGTGTGAGCTAATAATAACATTCCAACTAACTTTCATCCATTTGAAAACTACGTACGTATGCACATGTGTGTGTTTATTTAATTTAATTACAACATTCACCTAATTATATATCATCAATAGAGATACTGTATTGATAATTAAGGTTGCAATGCAATAGTTAATATACTTCCGCCGATCTTATATATAAGCTTCACTTTTAGAGAGGAGTTTAGTCCAAAATATTAGTTTTATTTTTTAGTTTATTTGAGCATTTATTACTTTTTTTTCCTTATTTTGTCTTTAATTGACTGTATTTAATGCTTCCCTTTCTTTTAGTAATATTACCGCCATATATTTTCTTTTATCACCTTTTTATTTATTGCCCCTCTCATTTATTCTTTTAATAAATGAGGGCAAATTTGAAAAAAAATTATATTTCTAACTATATATTATTTTTAACTAGTTTTAACTGTTAGTTCGTTAAACATGATTGGATTATTTGAAACTTATATACTCTTTTGATTCTATTTATAAGGCAGAAAGAAAAGGTATATTTTAGTCCTATTTATATGGCACTGAGAGAAATTTTTTTATGGATGTACAATTTTACTCCTCATTTATTATTGTGTTGACTTTGTTTATATGAGATATAATGTATATTAAATAGGGATAAAGTTGGAAAGTTATTAAATTTTAAATGAAAGTTAGTGAAGTTTAAGGTTTTTTATGGTCTGTGTGAAACATGCTAGAAGTGCCTAATAAATATGATCGGAGGAGTATAAGACAAGAGGGAGTATTTATGAATGCGAATTGAATATGCATGCATGATTAATTGTATGACAACGTAACGTGAATGCAATCACTGAAATTTAACGAAAAGTACGCACTAATTAATTAATTCCAAAAACAATAAAAATAAAAAAGTGGTGCTTTGTTTAGTAGTACGTAGCTAATCACTCTAATTATTATATAGTGGTGTGTGTGTGTGTGTATATATATATGTTGTTAATATATATCCATCAATCAATTTCTTCAAAGTCTATGCACACTGACTTTTATAATGTTTGATTAATCAAACAAATAAAGGCACGCACATCATTAACTTGTTGAAATTGACTCTAAATTATTTATATATGTCACGCTCCAACCTTTCTTGTGATTTGATTTATTCAAAACATATATCATTATCAAATCCAACTGTTGAATTTCATGGGATCTTAGTTTTTGTCTAAAAACCATCATATCATGTATAGCCACTGAGCTTTATATATATATATATATATATATATATGTTAATAATACATCTAATCTTTGATATAAAAGATGGATAGTTGATTTGTTGATATTACAAAAATTAGTTAAGTTAGTTGTTTATAACAAATACGTGTTAGTTTTTATAAAATATCCTTCCTAATAATGTGTATTATAAGCTTATAATTACCACTTAAGAAGAAAGTCTCTTACCATATACAATTAATAATAAGAATACTTTGAGAAAATGATTATAAATTAAAAAAATAAAGTGGATTGAAATTTTACATTTATGACAAAAATAAATTTTTATCTAACTCCTATATTTAGAATTGGAGTTAGTATGTAATATAATCATATTTATCACACAATTGTTTATATATATGCTTCTAATTCTATGTTTCATATATATGTAATTTTTGTAAAAAATATTTAATTTATTTCTTGTTCAAATTAAAAGCAAAATTATAAAATAAATTATTCGATCGTAATTTCTAAATGATGAGCACTCAAATCTAATTTAAAATTTACGCAAATACAAATCAGCCATGGATTTTTAAGTATTTATGGGAAAATTCCAAAAAAAAAATATATTAAATATCAAGCCAAGAATTCCAACAAAAACAGTGTTATTTTTTTAATAAAATATAATCAAAACCTATTAAAATATAAGAAATAAGACTCATTTTAAATTTAGTATTTTCTAGGTTCTTTTTGTGAGATCCTCACTTAATATAATGCTTTTGGGGAATAATTGATGATTATGTGTATATATAATTATGAAGATATGACTAAGGGTTCGCAGAAAAAAATAAAAGATATTAAGGGTTTTAATCATCAAGTTAGGTGGAAAAGCAAACTATTAAAATGACAAAAGTACATAGGTTATTACTATAATAGGAGATTCCTCGCCCTCAATTTAGTCTCTTCAACCTTCAAATATAGCGACCCTTCATTCATTTTATTAATACCTTTTATATTATTTAATTTAATTTTCAGTAATATATTAAAATGAACAGTAGCTAACTTACCATATAAGGAAGGGGATGCAGTGCAGAATCGGGAATGCAGAAAACAATCAAAGTACTGTACAGTGCCGTTAGGGGAGCGCGTGGGATGCACGTTCTAATGTGAAATGATTTAATTGATGGTGTGGCGCGTGTGGCGGTCGCAAATTCCAAGGTAACAAGTACCAATCAACGACGACGGGAAGCGCTGATGATATCCCCCGTTCTCCAGCCGCCACGTCATCTCTGACACGTCATAAATTGGCCCTCCCACTGCCACGTGGACCACCCATGTGACAGGCAGACGTCAGTTGGACCGACCTTCCCGCCATCCTTCCTGGGCCCCAGTTAAATACCCCCCAAATCCTATGCGCCCAGTGCCCCAGTCTACGCTTGTACGTTTGGGTTTTTTTTTAATAATAAAATTCTTGATAATTAATATAAAATCTAGTTAAGTAATTTAAATAAATTAAAAAATTTAATTTAATTAGATATTTATAATAAATAAATGTTATTTTTTAAAAATATTTTTATTAATCATGTATGTTTTAATTATTTATTAATAGTAACTCCTTAACAATACAAATGTTATAAAAATTATTTGAAGATAAAATAAATTAAAATTTTATATTTAAAATTAAATTAAATATCAACTAATTTTTATATTATCAGTCTGCGTTTGGTCCATCGTTGTTATTATTAAAAAGCAGCGCATCAATTTGATTCATATAAAACAACCCAATCAAACTTTTTGTTGTTTCTCGTATTACAATACAACAAGTTATTGATTTTTAAGTACTCCATTCCTAATGTTAGGGGCAAGAACGTATTTTCATTAAAGAGCAAGTGGCATCCTTAAAAGAGTGTGAAATTCAATTTTAACTGTTTGTGGTTTGCAACCATTGAAGGATTATTTCCCTAAGATCCAATATTACCCTTAAAAAAAAAGTATAAATTAGGCTTGTTATCTCTCAATTAAAAAATATGATTAAAAAAATACTTTAACCTAAAAAAAAAAGCAATTTAGGGTAGATTTTACTAATATTTTGGTTTGAAGTTTGACTTGATGATATGTGTAACAAAATATTAGTAAAATAGCGAATGACTTTTTGATTAGTGACACTATTTTTTTTTAATTTTTTTTAATAATGAGATTATAAATTCAAACTTTTTATTGAGGATATAATAGATAGATGATTAGTGAGTTGGAATTATTTATTAAGAATATAATAGATGAATTAAAAAAATTTAGATTCAGCAAAATGTGAAATTGGAGCAGTTTGCATTATGTAAAATGTGAATTGGGAAGGAAGATTTCAGAAGGGAAAGAAGATCTGATGGGGGAGGAGGGCGGGGAATTACTTGCAAGGGACTCCAAGAGCGAGGGGCAACCCCGTTGCTCATAATCATGAGAACACAAAAACGTCTCCGTTTTGGGACACGCCCACGTGGCGGTCATGTCAGTGGGACCCACTCCCCCCACCTCCTCCTCTGCCCCATCCTGTCCCTTGCAATCCCTATCCTCTCTCTCTCTCTCCCCCCCCTAATAATTCCGACCACTTCTCCCCTACCCCTCTTCACATTCCGGCAATCGCCCACCCTCCTTTTTTTCAATTTCGTTTTTTTAATTATTAAATTATTAAATCAGCCATTTTCCCCATTTATATATACCTAACCTCTTCTTCTTCTTCTTCTTCACCCTTAAACCATCCCTCTCTTCTTCCCCCGTTTCTCTTCCGCTGTTGCCAACTCTAAAGTGCTAGTTAGTTCACTCACTGTTCCTCGCACCCTGCCCACGTTATCCGTATAGCTTATTTATGTTAATATGCTGCGTTGTCTGAACAGTTCGGAGAATCTCGCCGAGTCCTGCTCTGATATGACATTGACATTGTTAGAAACGCAAAGAGACAGGATGAAATGGCAGCAACCGCAGTTTCATCACCATCATCAGAACCAGAACTACTTTTCTGGGAATGGGTTTGACGCTGCGTTCTCGCCTCTGCAAGTTCCGAATTCTGGGGGATTGATGGTGATCAATGGCGGCGGTGGCGGTTCTGGGCTTGGTGAGGTGGCTGCTAATGCCAGCTCGGTGAAGCCAGCCCCGGGTTGGGAAAATGGGTGGTCCGAATTGGATAAGGCCGGCTTGCCTGGTACGGGATTTGTGTCTTCTGGATTTAACGTGAGCTCTGCAATTTCGAGGACTTCTAGCTGCCCGCCGTCTGTGGTGGCGTCGGCGGCTGCCACGCCAACGGAGAAGATGAGATCGACAAGTGGGAGAGAGAGCTTCAAGAAGAGGAAATCTGATAAAGCTCAGATCCCCAAGGTGTGTGTCATGTTTCGCTTCATGGCAATGGAAAGCTAGACGTCTTTCTTTCACTGTTCAGAAATAATAACTTGGTCCAGATACATCTCCACGTGCTTGCATGGAGTTGTTTGTTTATGAATTTTGTATCTTATATGGACGATACTGGTAATGTATTACGATGTATGCATATTATATGGCAATGATCTAACGTAAATGAAAATTGTATGTGTTTCAATGGGTATAGGCTGTTGCAGAAAATGAGAAGAGCAAGAAAAACAAAACGAGTGTTGAGAAAGGGGAACCCAAAGTCACAAGAGATAATAATGACAAGAACAGAGAAACATCTGCAGAATCTTCGAAAGAGAATTCAAAAGCGTCTGAGGTTCAAAATCAGAAGCCTGACTACATTCATGTCCGAGCACGTCGTGGACAAGCCACTGATAGCCATAGCTTAGCAGAAAGAGTAAGAACTCGAAAATTACCGATCCGTTTTCTTTTCTTTCCTTTTCTTTCAGCGGTTTTCTTTGTGGATTTTGCTTCTGGTAATTGAACAATGCAAGCTCTGTTTCGTCCTATTGCAGGTTAGAAGGGAAAAAATTAGCGAGAGAATGAAGTATTTACAAGGTTTAGTGCCTGGTTGTAACAAAATCACAGGAAAAGCTGGAATGCTCGATGAAATCATCAATTATGTTCAATCTCTTCAACGACAAGTAGAGGTTAGACATCACCCGCTTCATCATTTTCCGTTAGGTTGAAGCCACAGGCTTCAGTAAACACCCCCCCCCCCCCAAAAAAAAAGCTTCAAGCAAGACACTGACACAGACTTTAAACTTGATCCAAACTCATGTGACTTATAATGTTGTTCTCATAAAAATGCAGTTTTTGTCGATGAAACTAGCTGCTGTAAACCCAAGGATTGACTTCAACGTTGACGATCTGTTTACCAAAGAGGTAAAGAGAAATGAAAATAGCAGAACTCCAAGCTTCCACTACCAATGACATTTCAAACTCATTAATAATAATAAACGTTTTTTCGATGATATTTTCACAGGTTTTTCCTGCTTGTGCTTCTACGAGTTTTCCAGCCATAGATATGACACTTAACCCTGCCTATCTTCAGTTTAATCCAACACAACATGTTGCTTCATGTTCCGGATTAGATATGGGCATAAACCCTCCAGATTTGGGACTTCGAAGGACCATTAGTGCCCCTGTATCCTTGCCAAACGAAACGTTTCTTGAGCCACCATGTTTCAATGTACGTTCCTCTCTTGCTCCTCTGTATTATCTGTCATAATTCATAGTATTTTAAGAATACAGTAACTATGTTTGTTCCATGTTGTGTTAAGTTTATGTTGGATTTGTCTGTGTCCTAGTGATCTGGTTATGGTAATCTGTTTTCTCAATTTAATCTGGTCTGCGTGGACTGCAGCAAATTCTGCCATTTTCAAACTGTGAAGCTGATTTGCAGAACCTGTACAATGTGGCTTTTGATCAAGCCAGATCAACAACGTCGTCCTTTCCTTCTCAGCCATTCACAGGTTAGCTAAAAATTCATGTGCTGTCAAATCACTTTTTCTCTATAGCCTGATATCTCAGAGCTTGGAAGTAGATATAAAGTGGGGTGGATTTTTAATGGGGTGACAGAGACATGAGACTGGGAGCCCCCCAGCTGATATTGATGAGTGCATATGAATACTGAGACCTTTTTTTAATCTTTTCCGATTCTTCTTTCCCTTTCCCACTTCTTTCTCTCATAGGAATAGCAAGTAAAAGGGGTGTAGACTTTTGACTCAATGCATATACTATTTAATGCTCATTGCTGTTTCTGCATATCATGACAAAAGATATACTTACCCTGTGGACTAAGATGAGTAATGTGGATAATAAATGTTCAATGGATTAGTCATTTTAAATCACGGGGTTAGGATTAAGGATCTGGAGTAGAAAATTGATCTTTGGCTTGCTGAACTTAGACCTGTTTCTGAAATGTCTTGTAACGGTATATATGTGCAGGACTAATTGAAGCTAGCAATCTAAAGATGGAGATGTGAAGAAGCTGATGTTATATTCCAACTTGTTGGATGAGCTCAGTGAATCTGAATGACTCTTGTCAAGATTTTTTTTTCTTTTTAATTTTCTTTTCGAGTACATAACATATATTGTTTGTATACGTTCTCCATAGTATAAATAAATATCAGATTCACACCCTTTTGACTTCAATTCCTCAATTTAGCTTTATTCAGATCACAACTTTCCTCTGCCTCTTGTTCCCTTAACCAAAACAACAGTAAAATACGTACAGAAGGGCAAGGCATATGACTAGTGATACTTGGTACAACCTGGTAAAGAAATTACTGTTGATTTACTATTTTCTTAACTTGTGTATAATAGTTTCTGTAAATTTATAAACGTGGGAAACCTTGTACTGTTACAACCTAAGTTTAGCAGATCTTTTTTAGGGGTCGCTGCCTTCTTGATATCTAGAGCCACTAAATAATTGAGCATGAAGATCTCACAATCTAATAGTCAATAACTTTTCAAGAATCTCATGTATGAATTTATTTTACCAGAAGACACTTCAATGTCATCGAAATATGTTATAACAATTAACCGAATGGTCAATTGCCATTGAGACGTATCACGACAAATCACCAACAGCGCCATCTCATTGTAAACAAATTGTCATTATATTTCACTCAAAAAAAATCATTGTACTGCAATGAAATGCAATTTGAGCGTTATGTATGTATGCATGCATTCATGGATGCATGCATGCATGCATGTCTAGGCAATGAATGAGTCCTACATTGTATGGGGTCCACAATTTCTATTTCTCTGCTAGCATATTTTAATAGCAGAAGCCAAAAAAAAAAAACCATATTTAATAGCAAGTTGGGCACTTGATAATGAGATCAACATCTTGTTTGGACATGTTGGCCATCTTTGCTAATGGGTTCAACATCATGACAATTTTGAAAGGGGAAAAAATATCGTTTTTAAGAAGGACTAGTATGCACAAGACTCTGTTTTTTTTCTCCCCAGTTTATAGTCTCTCTCTCTCTCTCTCTCTCTCTCTAAGTAGGCTGCCTAAGTTGGGGATCTCAAATTTAAAAATGCAGCATCCAAACTTGAAGGAGACCCATGTATCAACAAAGGCAGTAGTTTTAATAACTCAAAACCACCAATTCATTCTTAAATAAAATACTTTAAAATAGTGATGAATCATGAAACTAAAACCTTTCTGTGGACTGAAATAATCTCGAATCTCAATGGAAGTATAAAGGAAAAAAATGCCACAGAAAAAAAAGAAGCCAATTAAGTCGTGAGTTGTGACAGTGGAGGGTTTGAGGTTCTAAAGCCAAACCCATTATATTGTTATGGCGGGTGAACCAGAAGACAAGATTGAAGATGCTTGAGAGAGACAGAAGACAAAAGCATGATAGTGGACCTCATAAAGGGCGCCTTTGGGGACAGAATAATAGTCAGTTGATTGAGACAGCAAATAGCTAAGGCAGAGAATGATGAATACAGAGCCCTAACCATAAGGGGATAGACCTCAGGGATGACCAGACATGTCCACTTCTTCCATTTATTAGGCTGGTTTCTCTGTCCGTCAAGTACCCCAAAAGAATTTTCCTTCATCTCAATCAAAACCCCCACATTTACTCGTATTTTTCTCAACTGGTTTAAATGAATGTTCAAACTTGAAATGCTTTGCACAGTATGGACAAAAAACCGTTCCATGAAAAGAGGAAAAGAAATAAATAATGTTCTTTTCAGTGTTCTTCAAATGCCCACAAACTCATTAACAGGTTCTCAGGCTGCTAGTTAATATACAAACCTAGGCTATAAAAGATAGGTTCTCTAACCCTTACCCTTTCAAGCCTTTCTGAGAAATATTTCTGTCAATGTCTAGTCAAAGACCTGTCGTTTAGGTCAGAATTAGATAATTCACCAAATTAGAGGAACGAGATTGAAGAAATTTCCAAAAAGAAGAACAGAGGGAGTGCCTTAAGACTAGGGATACCCTCTAGGAGCAGTTCAAACGCCTCTTGCAAATAATCAAGAGGCAAAGTATTGGATCTTGATACGAAGGAAAGGAGGCTTTCAGTTTTAGGTTGGGGATGGTGATTATTGTGGGGACCACTTTGAGGTTGCCAAGGGCAGACTGAGGTTTCTTCTTCAAGAGCCTCAGCTTTCAATTTTCATTCACTTTCAAGCCATCCACAATGGCGAAAATGGTGGACCTGTCCCATCCACATAGCCCAAGATCTTGTTGATTCCCTTTGTTCCTATGCATGGTAAGCGATGACCGTGGATTTTCCTTTCCTTTGTCCCACTTTTTCTTTATTTGAATAGAAAATTAAAGAAAAATCCATTCTCAATTCTCTCATTCTCTCTCTATCTCTACCTTTCCTTTCACATCGCACATTCCAAGATTTTTTTTTTTTAAATAAAAAACATACAATCCTTGCCGCGCAAACAAAAAATTAAGTGAAACTCTAATGGTTGAGACCACCTTATCTTCCAATTTTTGTCTCATTCTTATTCGGAAAATCCGAAGTCTTAACCATAAGACCCCATACCGGGCCAATTTGAGCTTAGAGGGATGAATTCCACTTCAAGAACTATTTGACCTATTCACACAATTGTGGCTCTGCTTATAGCTGATAGCAGTGTTTCAGTATCCTTAACCTCAGAAATAGCGACCTTGGTTTGTTCATCCAAGGATTGATCATACCTTCTATTATGACATAGTGTCAACACAATGGTTGGCTCAAGAAATTTCACACTATTATATCTCGCAGCAACTGAAGTCAATTGTTCACATTTGATGGACTCCATATAACAAGAGACAAAGAAGAGATAAGAGAATCAACTTCAACTATTCAATTTTATATGACGAAGCAGTTTGAAGTTCGGACAGAGTCTAAGAACATGCAAAACAAGTAACCCCTAAGGTGGACCTTGGGAATCATGTGACAAATGATTTGCAGGAATCAAGCAAATGTCCTTTAATTTAATATTAATTTACAGCGCAGTCACGCATGGATTTCTGAATCTCTATGCAGTGAAAAACCTCAAGGTCTTTCGTGCTCAAGAGCAATGGCGAACCATGCAGGTAATGAACACCGTTGACATGGAAATAATGAAAATGTTTGGCACATCTATGCTCAGTGCACACTTTATTTAGTCCGGCCATTTCCAAAAGAAGCCAGGACTAGACTAGAGTGTCCAAGACTTCACTGATTGTAGTGTACTTCACATCTGGGTAAAGTTCCGTACCCTCCACACCAGACCTCGGATCGATATCAAAGTAAGTCTGATCTCCAAGTACGAAAGCAGAATATATAAACAGCTTCTCAAAATTGTCTGGGAAAGTAGTCTCTGCAGTGCAATAAAAATTTACACATTTCAATTAGAGTATCTTCTCATTCTTCTATTCTTGGATATGAGTAACTTTTCATAATGAATAAGGACTTGTTTGGATTGATTTATAAATAGCTTTTTAAACGTGATTTATAAAATACGAGATAAATATATGAGGAGAGTTTTATCTCGGCTTATGTGAACTTGTTTAAAAATCCGTTTTGAATGTTGCTCCAAACAAGTCCTAAGACCTTCAACTATATCTATCTCTTTGTGTTGTATATTATGGATTCTACATGCTTCAAATAAGTAGTGAGATATGTGTATAAATGTTATACAAACTACTAAAATACCTTTAATGTTCTTGAGCAGCTCTTCTTCTGAAACGTAAGATTTCTGAAGCTTCTTCCCAATTTTGGTCTCCCATAAGTCTACTAGCTCGTTAATGGAGTAAACATTTCCGGGCGGTCTTAAGTACAAAACTTTACATGATGTACGAGGGTCATCCACAGCATTGATAGTGAATGCAGCGACATCACTTTCCTTAACAAAGACCGCTGCCATGTTGATTATGAGTGTCAGCCGGCAAAAAAATTATGTATTTCGATTATGTGTACAAAAAGGAGCTTGAAAAAACAGACCTTTTGTGTTTCCATCGCCAAATATAGTGACCTTGTCCCTAGGAGGAACTTTTAAGCCTGGCTGAACAAGAGAAGGAATCAAAAGGCTCATGAAGAAATTGCAGGAGATGCAAGTATATGGAATGCCTTCAGCCTCCACGAGTCGCCGGATTTCTACTTTATGTTTGTAGAAATTATAGCCAGCATCAAGGACAGAAATTCGAACCTTGTCAGGGTCTGATCCGAATTCTGATGGGATGAACCTCTGCAAGACCCCACAAACCAACTAAAATTATTTACACACGAGAAAGTTGAAAAATAAAGGAAAATCAGTTGTAAGCAGATGAATGACAAAATTGAGGTTGAGCTGTGCTGTATCAACTATATATTTGAGCAAAACAGATCTCTAAAAAAAAAAAAATCTGTAAGTAAATGTTTGAGATGATTGTAAGGATAGAAAGATTCATAGGTTCAAGAAAGCACATTTCCCCCCAAAAAAGTTAGGTTGTTTCTACAAAATAACCTAACTTGGATGAGATGATCAGCAGAATAAACCTGGATGAGCTACAGCTCCAAGCTCATCAACTTGGATGGAGCCTCCTACCCACTGGATTTAAAGGATGGACAAGTTCTTTTTCCTATCCAGCCCACTTCTATTTCTTCCTTTTCCCCCAAAAAGGTTAGGTTATTTCTACAAAATATATACGCTTGGTGCAACCAAAGCAAGCGCAAAAAATTAACAAAAACTCATCAAACAATCATAAACACTCACTCTAATGGGTTTTTACTAATTAGCTCTTTGTACTTATTTATCCCTGATCTTTGTCTCTCTGCACAAAATCCCTCCTTGCGAGATCTGAAAGCGACTTTCCTCCATTTTCAACCCAATGCTAGAGGGATCATATTGCAAAAGGATGAAGACGAACTGGAAAAATGGAACCGAAGTTGCAAAAGCAGGATGTTTTTTTTTCTCTAACTAAGTTATTTCTCTTTGTTATTGCAAGGATATATTAAAAAATGTCCATGCTAAAGCCCTTCCATGAGATCTTAAGGGTGCTTTCCTCCATTTTGACCTAATGTGTGTAGGATTTTATTACCAAAGTACTCCTCAAAGAATCAAATCCATGTTGACAAGGCAAAAAAATTTGCAACACAAAATGTGTAATCTCTTACTAATTTCGCTAATTCCTCAATGGCTGCACCAACCCAGGAATAAATAGGAATGACAGAAGAGGGGAAAAGATAAACAGAACATTAGATTAATTCTTTTCCTGGTTAGCATCAAAACTCATCAAGGCCATAACATTGCCAAATGTTTCTCTGCATATTGCTATGACTAATATCTCCTTGTAAACAAAGGTGCTAACCAACTGTGAAGAGAATTAGAACATGTATTTATTAGATTTGGTCATTAGTTAGTTAGGATGTTTTTAGTTGTAAATATCTGCTGCAAGTCATGGGATTGATAAGCCTATATATAGGGGCTCAGACATGTAAATACTTGCCAGACTTCATCATTCTTTATCAATAACACTATATGTTTTAGTCAGATGGGCTACATGTGAGAAGGTTCACACCAACAAAATAACAGAAAGGATAAAGACTATAGCTGGCTTATTCTCGACAATACAGGTCATCTAAGATCATAAAAGCAAATGCAGTCCAAGACACTAGATAAAAGGGGTTGATATGTGCAAACATGAGATGTAAATCCCACAAATAGTCATATTCTTTGTACAACTCTCTCTTCATATATAAATGTACTACCAACAGAAAATATTTGACGGTTCATGAATTGTATCCAAACAATCACACTCACACAGGTATTGAAGAATAGGTTTTAGTCTCTTTTTCCTTCTTTTAGTCTCTTCCATAGTTTACCACTCATAGAGTAGCTCTTCGTTGGTGCAAGAATAGGTATTGAAGAATTTTTCCATAGGAACCCAAAGATTTGCAGACCCCAGAAAGACAAATGCAGAAATAGATAAAAAGATCAAATGACAATGTCAAGAGGTTGATGACCTTGATGGAGCCAGCTTGTTTGATGACTTGGATAAGGAGCTTCTGGTCAAGAATCTGCTTTGCTGAAACAGCACAAATCACCACATCCACTTGCCTGACCGCCTCAACAAGGCTCGCTTCATCTTGGAGCGAACCCTACAACATAAATAAAAAGTCAACCTTAAGAACCACTGAAACAGAAGTCAACCAAAAACATTGAACCCAGAAAACGAAAACGGGGAGATAGGCAGAGACTTTTAGAATGGTAGCTCCAGAATCGGAGAGAGACTGAATCTTCTGAGCCTTGTTAGGGTCAGAGAAGGCAGATTCTCTCACAAGAGCAAATGTTGGATGAGAAAATTCGAGGCTTGCTTTCGTTAAGTGGTACCCTAATCTTCCAGTTGCCCCGATGATCAAAATTTTACTTTTTGCCATCTCTGTCTCGCTCGGAAAACCGAGAATTCGAAAACTGCTGCAGTGGCAATTTGCCAAATTCAGCGGGGGACTTTCCGGGCATAAAGAAACTAGACAGAGGAACCCAAAGGCAAGATATTTAATGATATTGACAGGCCATTTCAAACCAGTCTGTCAGCAAGTGTGCATATATTATATAACTGCATATTCAGGATATTCAAACCTTTTTCTGCCTAAGCAAGTCACTGCAATGGATTGTTTGACTTTATTAGCTGTTCTTTATGATAAACAAAAGAAGATCAAAGAAATAAAACTGATCCAGGAAAAAGGAAATAGATTGATTTATAGGTGACATCCTTGTATTCTTCGAGCTAGTATGTGAGAATCTAAAGAGTAATGAAGCCATGTGTCGCCAGATCTTAAAATCTCCATTTTGGGCTTTCGTTCCTCCTATCACTACTTTTGCTCAGTTGAAAAGAGGAAGCACAGTGAGCACTTAATTTTGCAGTTTTTTCCTCCTCCCTTTTTGGTTCTCAAGGACCACATTATGCCAACAGCAAAAAGAGTATTTTCAGAGAGTGGACTCACACACCCGCCCATCATGCCCGTCCCTATTTTTATCATGGGTTTGGGCTATGAAAGTGTGGGTGCCGTCCAACCAGAAGGTTGTTGGCATACCAAAAATTTATTCAAAAACATGTTATTATTTACTTTTTTTTTAATATTTATTTATTTTTTTAAAAGATAGTCTTTTTAATAATAGTGATTCTAACCAATAAACATGATTAACAAAGATATTTTAAGAAAGACAACACTTATTTATTATAAATAACTAATTTAATTTTTTTTTTTAATCTACTTAAATTAGTTAACTAGCTCTTATATTTAGAATCGGAAGTAGTACCCCCCAATAATGCAATGAATAATATTGCCTCTAATAGAAGAATATTTATGAGTAGCCAAAAAAAACATAATAGTATAACTTATTATTGTTAATTATCTTTAAAATATTAATCGGCAGTAAATCCTAATCCCAAGCTCCGTGTGTCCTTCCTAAAGAGGAATAGGGCTTATCAGCACACCAACCTTGTTACGGCATTCCCCATATGCATCTTCTTTCTCCCCAAGCGCTTCCAAAAAGGCGGGGAAATTGTGTCAATAAGAAAATACAAAATTAAAAAAAAGTGTTCCTGAAAATAGAGAATATATAATATAACAAGAAACAAAATAAAGCCTATGCTACATTTAACAAATTCACGATTTACACATAATTGCTTTTTCCACGTCATTTTATTACGATTTTATATTTTTTGGGCCAAATTATTATGATTTTATTAACAAAAAATTGAATAAATTACTAAAGGTAACAGAACTGGAAACTTAATTTTTTATAGGTCAATAGTTCATTATAACTTTGTTATATGCTCATTAAAATCGGCCCATAGAGCGCAGAATAATTGAAACCACGTTGTGCATTCACCCATGTCGATTTATGATACATATTGTTCGCACATCAATATTATATTCCTAATTACATGTCCTTTAAAAAAAAAAGAAGTAACCTTGACAAAATGAACTGAACTCATTCAAAATATAAAAGCTAATTATAAGACATTAATTCACTTAAACAATCCTATTAATTGCATATGCTAAAGAAAATTTCTATTCATAAGAAAATTTTTTAATGCAAATAATTAAAAGTGACATTTAAAAAAAATCAACATACATTCATTATAAATAAATAATCTTTTTATTTTTTATATTTTAATTATCTCGTTCTCATATCTGAGAAGAAAGATACAGATGCACAAGTTATTTATGCATGCGTCAGTGCTGGCAGAAAAAAAACAAAGAAAGAGCATGCATCAGTGCTCATAATAGCTTGTCAGGTTCCTGGCGTGGTAGAGTAACTAGGTGGAAAGGTTGAAGAGAAGGTTATCGCTGTTTGCCACTCTAACCCACAACGCCTGATGAAACGTTGTGCTGCGCTACAAACCTGAAGGGCCTTCACTTGGCCAATTTAACCTTTACCCCAAAAATACAAAAGAAAATGAAATCAGAGTCTAAAGTGAACAGCTTTATTACACCAGCTTCCAATAAGCAGCAACCAAAAAAATCTTCGTATTAAAGGGATTCTGCTGAAGTATTTCATCAAGAAGAGAGATTAGCACTAATATTCAAAATTGGACTAAATGATGATATGTATAAACAATGAAGTTTACTGCCAAGTGCCAACATTAGCATATCTTCTGGTATCATAAAACTAAGTGGACATAACATAATCCAATTTTCTGTGACTGCGTATTGGCACCCCATTATAGTCTGCAAAACACAATCCTTCAAGTAAAAAGGGGGGGAAAATCAGCTACCCTAAATGTTCACAAATCCTAACCCTTCTCCTCGATCCAGTAAATGAGTATCCTTCCAAGCATGCAACAGCCTAGCTTCATTCTGCACGAGATCCACTGCTACTTGCAGAAGGCTTCTTACCGCCATACTTCTGAAAGGGGGAAAAAAAAAATAGCATGGGGTACATTCCAAAATATTTCACACAGACACATAAAGTAAACTATGAGAAGAAATTCAAGCATAAAAAAGATAGAAACTCAACCTGCTTTCCGATGTTGAATGGGACGTATTTGTATTTGACCATGTGTGCAATTTGGCGCCTCATGGTAAGGACGAACAGAACAATCCAGTAACAGAGTAATATAGGCCAAAAGACAGGAACATCAAATACAGAAAAGAAGGTCATGACAAAAGCTATGCAGAAAGCTTTTGTGAAAGAATACCTGCAGCAACAGAGGAAAAAGCAAGTCATTATTTTCATCTGTGTCAACGGGCTATCCCATTGTTCCCCAACAGAAACATGGAAACTCTAAAAAATGAGCCTGTAAATTACATGATTCCTTGACCACAAAAATGGAAGAAGATTGCATATAAATAGTGCCACCCCCCCCCCCCAAAAAAAGGGGGGTGGAGGAGAAATATAATATGATTGATGAGACTAGAAGAATTTTAAACATGAAAAGGTTGGAAAAATAGAAGACATCAAATTTCTTAGTGACAAAACCAGTATTAACTCCATCAGTTTTCCAGAAAGGTCATAAAATATTCACAAAATGTTATATGAAAACAAGTTCTGAAAAATCATTATTACAGAGGTTTTAGGAGGCATAAAACTAAGTTTCTGGGCATGTAATTTGCGCAAGGTGATACCCAGAAATCTAAGGTATCCAGTGTTCCAGTTTTTCAATGAACAAGGACAAAAAGATCACAAGAAAGTGAACTTGTCGAAAGTTAAAATAACAGGCTTAAAGGCATATACACTAACCAAATATTATGTATCATACGCTATATCATCACAAGAACAAATACCAGGAAGAAAGATGCGTGATTGGGATCAAAGTTGATGCTGAGTTGAAGCACAAGTTAGTTCCATGGAAAACAATGCGTTTGAGAAAGTGTGTTTATGATTTGGTCAAAAAAGAAAGTGTGTTTATGAAGACATTTTAGGAAAGATAAACATGTTCTGATGTAATTAACCACTGGTGTACAAAAAAATCATCAATTTGCAGCCAAAGGTAACTAGTGGTTGATAACATAGGCAGTTTCAGCAGGCAGTAGACTAAAAGCTAGTACCTGACAACAAGATTACCTCAATCTTCTCATTAATTTATTATAAGGATATCAAGTTATTCTTCCTTTGTGAAGGGTTTATTTCTATTGACCAGAACAGGTTTTCCCAAAAAATACAAAATTAAGAGCATTTTTTGTACGGCCGTGCTCTGTGAATGACTGAAGGCCGGACTACCAAATGGAGTTTAGCATTGATTCATAGCAATATCAGTGGGCACATATGATAAACTAAGATATCAAGTTATGGTACATCATATGTTAGAGACTCGGGACTGAATGCTAAGATGACAGACACCGAAGCAGCAATTAAAATCTAACAACAATGAGCCTTATCCTACTATGTGAAGTTAACAACAACCAAATATCTGGATAAATTGTTAACCAAAAGATCACGTTTAATAACTTCATTAAGTGTTCTCAGTTAAAATCTAATATCCAAATAATTAATTACGGTTTTC